ATCTAGTAGAAAAATATGCATCGGTCAATGCCGAAGCAGTCGTTATTCGTACATCAGCCTAATAATTCTGTTTGTTCCAGCAAACGACGCGGCTGACGACTGACTCACGCATTCGCGACTCGCGCCGCGGCGCAACCCAGATCCGATTTTATCTCCCGTACTGTAACGCGCCATACATCGTGCCATTACGTAGCCCGAGAGAAAAACAACTTGTCATCGTGCGTCTTACGTCGCGGTGCTTGTATGCTCGTAGAAAATTATTATCTTCCCGTTCTCTTGAATGAATGGATTCGTTCGCTCTCCCGAGCCGCCGAGAGAAAGTACGTGAAAATCGCTCGTCTAATCGGAACGCGCCGATCGCGAATTTCATCAGCGTCCGAAGGGAGATTACGAGTGAGATTCAGGTTTGGAGGCATAAATACTTTGAGCGGCAATAAATTTGGCTCTTCTTCTCTTTGCCCGTTCGTGTTTCGCATTCGTAAGAAATTGAAGTAATTTTCATTTTCGGAAATCTAGAAAGAAGGAAAAATCAAAGTAACGAATTGCGCTAGAAAATGACACTTCTCTTTATATCTTTTTACGTTGTGCTTCTTTTTATATCGCCTTACGTATAAGGCGAACGCGCTTTTTGATCATAAGGAAAGTCAGGAACGCGTTGAAAATGCACGCCTCATGATGTCAACGGGGTCGCTATTTGCGTGCGAATCGCACACGCGTACATTCGCTGTGCATACGTGGACTCTTTCCTCCCGCATAATTAATGCCCCGAGCCTGGGGAATGAAAGGTAGCACCGACTGCTGAAGTAACGTCACGAATCGAAAACTTTGTTCGAGGTTCCTTTGCACGTCCCCTTGCGAGCACCGAATTGCGTCGCAGTTGGGCTCCGATAGAAAGAGAGAAGTGAAGCAACGCGAAGTGTAGCAATCGGAGCACGCTGAGATATACAAGATAAATCGAAAGTCTTAACGACGCAATTGGAAGTGCGAAACTGCGCAAAACCAACGTTGGGTGTAATTTGAAGGCGATGCAACGCACCGCGGAAAGGAAGGAGGCGCGCGAAGCGGGCTGACGTAAATCGAGGGTTTGCTCGATGAATAAGACACGCCAGCTCATGTAATTACATTTAAGTTGAACGAAATTAGAATAATTCCCGTTCGCCGGCTTGGCGCTTCGAATTGCCTGTACGTCACACGCGTGAACTTTTTACGCAAGAGACGATATGTTGCCTTCGGTATATAAATTATAACTCGCGAGTTAATAAATATATTATCTCTAAATGCACTCGCGTGGCGCGAAATGGCTTCGGGAAAATTGAATCGATTAATTTTCAACAAAGGCATCAAATTGCAACGTTTTTTCCCAGGTGAATATATATATATATATATATATATATATGCGAATATATATATATATATATATATATATATATATATATATATGTAGTGTGTATGTATGTATATATATATATATATACATACCATATACATTATATACATATATTTTATACACACACACACAGTGTGCGTGTGTGTGTGGGGGGTAGGTATGTGTGTGTGTGAGAGATATATATTACTGTATCAGGTAATAAAATTATGCATATTCTATAAAATTTTTCTTTTTTTATTAATTAACAGCATTAAATAATGAATTACTTAGATATCGTTACGTATTT